AAATGCATTCACTCATGCAAACCAACACTAATGGTAAATTCACATAAAATGTAACAGCCATACTAAACAACAATACCATATGTAAATCTGTATTAAAACATTTCAGTGATAGGCTATCAACAAATACAACCCCAAATCAGAAAAAGTTGGAGGAACATTGTTTAGATTTTACATACCATCTCAACTTTTTCTGATTTGGGGTTGTAAGTAAAATGTCTTTTTTAGACAAAGATGAGATTTTGTATGAAATATAAGGTCAATATGTGTCATAAATATATAGCAGTATCCTCTATTGAACAGTGTAAAATGTTAAGTCCACTTGTGGCTGTGGTGCCCCTCTCCCTCTTCAGTCACACATGCTGGTGTCAGGTCTCCTACGGTCTAAGCTTGCTGCAAGCATCTGTTGGATCATAAATTTTACGGCACAGTGTTGGTAAAGATAGAGCCCTGACATGTCTAAAAGAAAAAGGACAATCTTTCTTATAAGTTAGATATACTTTCACCTTGTCCAAAATGCAGCCTTGTATAATGGCGCTGTAATTCCACACATTGTGTTAATAACAGATATTTCAAATACAAGTGACATATTTCAGCATAACACTACTTTTACTTTACTCATGCAGACAGGACTTGTCCTTCGTACACTATAACGGAGCACAATGTTCACTGAGCTGTGGCAGTTTCAGTTTTAACCCACAAAAACACAGACAGTATTTGTATAATTATTCCCAAAGGAGCCCATGAGTGTTAAAAAGGGAAAGGTGATGGTTGCTTTCACTCATCACAAGGCCACCTGTAGTGCTGTAAATGTGCCTTTATTTGACTTATTACATGACAGGCATGAGTGCATTTTTGTTTTCAGCCACAGCGTGCACTAAAACCTATACTCACACCCCTTTTCCTTTCACTGTAGATGTGCACAGGATGTGGTTGTTTGTTACAGCGATGCATCGTCGCTGCATTTACTTCCTACTTTTTTCATGAAATTATAAATATATTTCTTGTGACATTTCCATATCATTGAGTGTTGTAGTGTTTTTTGGAACGTATTTTCAAAGAGGTTTCCACTGTAAAACGTTAGTGGACAGAACATTACTGTACTGTGTGGCATATATGTTGGCTGTGCTACACATGGTGGCTGTGGCAGTGACAGCCATACTAAGTAGCAACACATCACAGAGAAAAGGATTTCAACATCAGTGTTTAAAATAGTCATGTCAGCAGAAAGGGCAGTGCTGAAATGAAGAGGAATTTATGTAATGACCCTGTTTCACATGACTTTCCTACATAATGTCATGTTACTCCAAGGGGACACACATTTATGGGAGAATGAAATCTAGATTTAATTTCTCCTGGGTCTTGTGCAAAGAATATTCTAACAAATTGCTTTCATCATTTTTACCAGGATGGCCTGATGACAAGGAAACATGCTTTAGGTGTGTTAGTAACTTACTTACTAACACACCCAAAGCATGTTGCACTGCAATTTGCAACTTTCACTATGTGTTCACCAATGTTCAGCAGCTTCAAAAACCGTGTTGCCTTAGAGAGTACAGAGTATAGGCAAATGAGCTTTGTGCAATGCAAATGAACATGTTTTAATAAAACTCTGCTGTGAGCCTCTTCAATATTCTTTAAGTCCTGCTATCAGTTCATGATTATAGCTCCTGGTTTAAGTGGGAAACATTTACTATCTTACAACCTTCTGAAGTATTATATACAGGTACATGTCACCTGTGTCTAAGTACATCATACTTTGAAGTACTATGGGTAGGTCTACAGGTGGGCCTGTACCATAGTCACATGCAGTTAAACTAACTTTAAACCAGTGCAGGTATTTCAGTCCCAGTGTAGATTGCCTGCAGCCTGAAACAGTGAACAATGAGGGCAGTAATCTCTACTGTAATTTATTCATATACAATTTTTGCTTATGTACTGTAAAATTCTGGCAGGCTGTTTTATCTATATCTAGTCCAGAATAAAACTGACACAGGGTTGTCAAGGAAAACTGTTCACCTGTCACTCTGGTTTATTATCAGCCCACTCATGGAGAGACCGTTACCCACATTTCCCCATAGGCACTGAATGGAGAATGGTTATACAGTGTGAACAGGTTTTCAGTGATGAGCAGAATGTTTAATGTTATAAAGGGCACAGTTATGAGATTTGATAAACATATTTCCAGGTGTTTGCTTTGCCTTGGCCTTTATTTGCGTTCAGTGATTTAAATACCTGACAACACCTACAGAAGTGTGCCACAAAACTTGTGGATGAGATCTAATGGCAACTGTATCAGTGTTTCCTCTAATTTTCCCCAGTCTGACAGTGAGAATAAATCATCTATGTCCAATTTCCTGAAGTTTTCCTAATATGGGTGTCAATTAGTGCAAGAGTGCTTCTGTGGCCACAGTTTTATAGTCTGTAAACTGGGCTGCCGCAGGCAGCACAATGCATTAGTGCACGATGAGCTGTCAGAGAGGATTATTTCAGCCACGCCAGTCAGCAAAGGGGTGGGCGCCGCTCTGCTGCACTAAACCAAGGAGAAAGAGTGGGCGGGAGACAGAGAAAGGCAGAGAAACACA